GCGATTACACGTGAAGTACATGTTTACCTTCCAGTTTGTTATTCTCCTCATACATTCAGAAAGTTCATTATTCAATGAACGTTTAGCTTCAGCGTTTGATTTTCTTAGTAGAAAATCACATACTATATATGAAAATTACATACAAATTCAACCAAATACTTTATTTTGTACATGTTAGAAATTTTAATAACACCGTTTATAGAAATATAGTTTAATCGAAAAAAAACTTTTATTGTAATTCAAGCATATTACGTTCGTCTACAGATTCAATGATTACTGATGGCGTTGATATTCACGATGTCGGAACTTCACCAGATATCGTCTAAGCAAACTTCAAATGATAAATAATAAAAATGAATAAATGAGTAAATGTACAGTAAAGAAAAGATTGAGCTTATTTGTACCATATAACAGTCCTACAAGTCCTACAATGTTCAGCTGATACTGATACTGTCTGAGTCCTGAACTTAAGTCCTACTCTTATTCAACAGTAATAATACTGTTATATGGTTATATTTTATATTATATTATATTTTATCTCCTATATTAGTCCTCAACCCTGTAGAGAATACTCTGTCGATCCCACTCGAATGAAATACAAAGGAAAGATACTATATATCATATGAATTTCTGATCTCTGAATCATCGCACCGAAAGTTAGAAATGGTGGCGAGGAGAGGTGAGTGAAAGTGCAAATGTTCTGAGTCATGACTATTCCGATATTTTGATTTGTTTCTGAAATTGAACTTAGCTGACGGACTCAAAAGGACATTGTTTTAACATAACAAAGTCTCCTCCTCCGCCCTATATAGCTCCCTCCATACTCAAGACTCATAACCCCCAACACATTTTGCACTTATGGCTACTGTGAATTAGCTTCGTTTTAGTTAGTTTGCTATGTCACTATGTCTACATGGAAATATAAAAATATAAAGATGAATATGCGCCAAATAATCGTGGTGCTTACGTGTCAAACATTGTTGTCATAGAAACGAACAGAACTGTTTAAGCTTATTGGTGTTACTGACGACTACCCGTAAGCACTCATGAAGAAACTCATCAGGCCACGATTTTTCACGTTACTAGATAAATTATATACTAATTTACCAGTTACGGTGGAACGTAAGTAGCAAAAAGTATAAAGTCAAGATCAAACAACATCTTTAAGCTCCTATAATTACTAAGCTATGAGCTTCAGTGCTAATGCATGTTCTTGAGATAACAGAGATTTTTAAGCGTTGTGCTTTAAATTAGAGCAAAACCTCTAGTATTTAACATAAAGAAGATTAGGATGTTCCCTTACCTTAGAAGGGATATCATATCCAATAGTGAGAAATCGTGAAGAGTATCTAAAATAAACTGAGGTTATTACCAATGTTATGACTCAATAGTTCCAATCAATAGTCGAAAAAGTAGCAAAATATAGTTATATATGAAATAATACCCTAATTGATGGTCTCCGAACTACACGTAAAGACGGGTTGGTCATTTAAATAATCCGTGTGGGTATGTAAGATAATATACCTAGTAAGAAAATGTTTTGTGAGAGAATTCGATGGAAAACTATGACGAACAATCCATGTTCTTGCTTCGATATCACGTGTGTATTCACAAATCACCTATAAAACTAAAAATATTTATGAAAAAATAACGATCAACCTCATCTACGTATGGCATCGAACTACATGCAACCTCAGTTTGGCGGACAAATTCCGTACCAATACCTCCACCATAAAAGCGTGGACACTCTAAGAAGCGATATTTAGATCATCTATACATTCATAACAAAGATCTTTTATGACTTCTACCAGCTTTCTTTCGAATAAAGATATTTGACCTGTACAGAACGATAGTGACTTCTGCATAGATCACACTGTAGAATTATTTCATTAACTAGAATAGTTTTTGAATGCATATCATCATTAGAGCTTAATTCTTACTTGCGTAAATCTATATGATCTATTAGAACCATGAAAATGAGTGAGTCACGATGTTTAGTGAGGGTATAGAGAGGAAAAATTAACGTAAAACAAATAGCGTTAGAACAATATAGCCATGATTGATAATTTGTACGCAACTGCCCTATGTGATCACGTGCTTTATAACTCTCAATCATAATATTTCTATTCTGACACCAATTTACTGACCCCGAAAAGATGACGGGTATGCTACGCCTGAGGAACGGCAGCGAACTTATTCGGGTCTGCGTGTCACCGCGGTACCCATACCACTGCGCCAAATTCTGAATCTTGTCTAGACAATTGACACTATTTCTTAATAGATAATTCAATTCTTGCATTAAAGGAAATGAATCGATCAACAGCAGCTTACTAGAATAATCATTAGAGATGAATGCAGCCTGTGGCACAATAAAGTAAAGGAAAATTCCGGTCACACCCACAACAGAGATGCTAAAGTCGTCGACGAAGAATAGCAAAGAAAATCCATGTGTTGTGATTCATTCCTAATGATACAGTTAAATTTTAAGCATCGAAGCACTTACTTCTTCTTCACTGATTCCGAACAAAGAAGAAATAACGGCAACGGTGAGAGGTTGCCATCTTGTCGGTTCAATTATTTTCTTGACTTCACGCGATGGAATCAGAGCGTCTCCTACGTCTAACACAGCCTATCATCAATTGAAAATTATAATATAGAAGTCTTTGATTACTAAACAACAGTAATTACGATAGCCAATAGTAATAAAACAAATATTTGTTGTAATATTAGTAATAAATGCTTACAATAATATAAATAAGATTCATAATAATAGGAATGATAACGAAATTTGCAGCAAAAAGATAATAATGATAATAATAATACTCGCGATAGGACTAGGATACTCGATGGCATATCTTCACTGGTAGATTGGCCGTCCTACCATAATATTCATCTGTGATAGAAAAAATACCCTCCATTTTAGAGGATAATTTGCTTCCTTTCCATATTAATTCAACTTCATCGAGTAATTGCCTAAAGACGGACGCTGATTAGAATCGATCGATGAGGCTGGTGGTCTACGACCTCTATGATGGGGCACGTGCCTTGATGTAGATGAGTGATCCACATTGAAGTGGCGGCTCTCATGGTCTTGTATTTTATTGCAGAACCTTTATTAAATACTTCCGCAATGAGGTTTCTTCCAAAGTATAGTTGTAGAAAAACACCACACTCAGGAAAAAACATAGTCGTGACGGTTTTCTTTTATCATCACAGCAATTATTTAATGTAACAAAATAATATAAAGGCATCATTTAGACTGCTGTGTCCGTTGTGTCTGCCACAGTGACACGCAAGTTCGAAACAGTTCGAGGCTACACCCCAAGACTACCGTGTCCACCATTCCTCCAGCAAATTGGTACCAGATTAATCTGAGAAGGTCAAACATCACTGATTCGGTGTAGAGTGGTCAATCGTTTCGCCACCTTGTCTCTTATCTGGCATGGAAGTCGCATAAAACAAACTTATGCAACAGCTTTTCCTTGCGATTTACTTACTGCAGTTTGCTGTGAAACATGCTGAGTTCTTTCTCTCCTTTTCATCAGCCTCAATAATTGGTGAGTAGTATTGACAATAGTAACTTTCTTTCTACGTGGTTTCTGGAGTCCGGGAACAGCAGCATAAATACTAATTCACCGACTTTTAATCGATGCAAGGCAAGACAAAAGCCAGAAATTCAATGAGGATATCAGAAGAGCCAGAGGGTTCTACCTGTTAAGTTGTCAAGTTTCCTCTGCAAGGTAATTGTAGTGCTGGAACAAATAGATTCAGAAATTAACGTCGAACCACTAACTTTTCTTCTCCAAAGGCGATCCTGCAAGTACAATGCAGAAATTTCTTCCTTTTCTCTACATCTCTTCAGTTTTGAGAACATCTCGTTTTGCTTGCGTCGAAGAGATGGATAGAGCGGCTGGAGCTCGATGTGTTCTACCAGTGGACTGCCCTCCGGTAATCCGCAAGTATCGTGTAGTTGTTTTCACTTATAAAGTTCGGCGTCACTCTGTTCTTCAAACATCGGCGAAGAATGTGAATGATTTGTTGCGCTACGACGATTTTTCGTCTCAGCGACAGGACTTCTTTTGAGAGCCGAAAGTAATCTGCTGGCAGTTGTTTTAAAAGCCTCTAAGATCGACTTTCCTTTAACTTCTGCATTTGTGAATTGGATATCTTGACTGTAACCTTGTTTAGCAATAGTTGAGGTTGGTAAGAGGAAAAAGATAATAAGAAAAACAATATGTAAAAGTTACGTTTGCTGTAAGAGCCATAAAGTAGAAAATCAAGTAGATCGAAAGGCAAACAACCACAATATTGACGATTAAGGCGAAAAAAGCCATAGGAGGAGCAAGATCTTAAGAACAATAATTTCCTAACGTTTCAATTTGAACAAATGGATCTTTTCCTCAGTAGGAACTCAAAATCAAAACACAAAAGCTATAAGAATAATTTTACATAAAACCACCGACCTTCATAGATGCTATTTGGTACCATAACGAGTAAAACCTACCCATAGAAGGAGTAAAGTTAACATGAAAGATCATTTTATATCAAAATAGAAAAAAAAGGTGAATTGAATTTATAAAGATACAGGCTTTTCATTATCAAAAGAACAAAAAAAAATAGAGGCGCAATTGATGACTCATCGATTACGAGGCAAAGTAGAAAGGTGTTTCAGATTTTCAGCAAAGCAATTTGTTTGCTGCTGTATGGTGCGATTTTGCCTTCACTTCGAACACCGCAAAGTAAAAGAGAAAAGTTAAGAAAAGTTCATATAATATATAAAACACGATCACGCTACTCCAAAATCGCTTCAAAAATGGTGAAGAAGTGCACCGACATAATATCTTAGTAAAGGAGGAATCGTCTTGTGTTACGTGAACATGCTCACACGGCTTCTTTAGAAAATAATCTGTTCGAATACGGTCGGCAGCCGTCTGACATTAACAAAAACTTTTAATCTCGAAGCCAATGTTCCTGTATATGTGTTGTTATCAGGGACATCACCGAATATTGCTGTTGGATGAGGCGTCTGACTTCTAATCAGAAGATTGTCGGTTCGATCCCGGCCGTGGGCTATGCGGTCTTAACAAAAGTTTTAACCGCAAATTTCATATCCTAGAACAACTTTCCGATCAGCAATTTCATTTTTCTTCATTATATGTTAATATTCCGTACGTTACCACATCGCCCGCGTGGCCTAATGGATAAGGCGTCTGACTTCTAATCAGAAGATTGTCGGTTCGATCCCGGCCGTGGGCTATGCGGTCTTAACAAAAGTTTTAACAGCAAATTTCATATCCTAGAACAACTTTTCGTACAGAAATTTCATTTCACTTCATCATGTGTTAATATTCCGTACGTTACCACATCGCCCGC